TACAATACAATATAAAACTGGTATCAAATTAGAAAATAGTAACAATTACAACACTCTAATACAATGATTATTTTCATTGTTGCAGATAAAATTTCTAGCCCTCATCTACACACATGAGCTCAGCTCGCTCATATTTTCAGCACCCAAAAAGCCACAATAGAGCATACAAACTGCCAGAAGATGGAAGCTGTGGGTAATGTTGATGTTCTGAGGAGGCTGATTTTGTACCTAGAACTTTGGCACCATCCTGGAGGGACAAGAACCTGTGCCAAAGTGGACACCTGAGGGCTCAAAAACATCCTTCACCAGACTGGTTTATCTGCAGGTGGTTGCACTGAATAGATTAATACATCATCCAGACAAATGATCACACAAAAATGCAAAGGCTTCCTTATGGTACCAAAATGAAACAGGGAGTAGTAATTGCCTCTGGAAAGAGTATCAGAGTCCTAAAGGGGTATAGTTTTACATTTGGAAATTTTTGTCTAGTTTTCTTAGTACAGATATCAAAGAATTAAAGTTTGGAAAAATGGTTTTTTGTTGGTGTTTTGTTATTGTGTGTCTTTTGGTTTTTTGGGGGTGAGGGTTCCGGTTTGTTTTTGTTTTTGTTTTTGTTTTGCTAGCAAGGCTAGACCAATGAGATCTCAGGTGATGGGAATGGAACCCTGTGGAAAAAAGAAAAAGCTGCTCAACTCCACGGTCATGGAGCACAGCAGTTAGGTGCAAGTGCTCCAGCCCCAGTTCACGCAGACTAGCTTGTTTGTGTTCTGCAAATAATGTTTATCCTCTGAGACTCAAGATTCTCATCTGTAAAATTGGGAGAGCAATGATGCCTACTTTTAGGGTCATTGTAAGTATTAAAGGAGACACAGCATGTAAAGGACTTAGCGTATTATCCGGCGCATACCAAACAACTCAACAACAGTTAGATGTCATTGTAGGCCCGTATCTTCCACCTGCCTGAGATTCTCAAATGTAGTCTCTTATGGTAAGGCACAAGAATCTTTTACTTATTAAAAGGAGGTTTTTAATAGATTAATAAAGATTGACAAACACTGATAAAGCTTAAATTATTTCTGACTTGCTGATGGCCCTAAATTCTCCACAAATGTAGCTAAATCTCCAATTTACCTCCAATTGCTATTAGTTTTTAATTTCACTAAACACATATTGAAATTATCCTATATTCTAGAATAACACAGAAATTATCTTGGAATTCAATTTGTCCAATTTTCAGCCCTTACAAGTTTCAAGACATTAAGGTTATTACTACTTAAATGTTCCTCATTTCCATTGTCTTGTTGTCATTCCAGTTCAGCCAAAATAGTTATTTTCCACAATGATATATATATGACTCCTCTACCTAGCTTAAGAACAACTTAACGTACGCATTAAGAAGGAAGTGGGACGCCCAAGATAAAAAACTTTTTCCAGTGTTTTCTTTTACATTTGAGCTTGCCTCAATGAACACCATAATTAAAGCTTCCTGCCAGGCAAGGTGGCTCAGGTCTGTAATTCTAGCACTCTGGGAGGCTGAGGTGGGAGGATTCCTTGAGCCCAGGAGTTTGAGGTTGCAGTCAGCTATGATCGTGCCACTGCACTCTAGCACGGGCGACAGAGTGAGACCCTGTCTCAAAAACGCAAACAAACAAACAAAAAAAAAAACAGACAAATACTTCCTAAGGGCTTTCCTTTTTATCATGTTTCCAGTTATGCAAATTTTCGAAAACATTTCCCAATACTCTCAAACATTCTCTCAACAAGAGGTGACTTTCTGAGGGATAAGACAGTACTTACATAGAAGTATGGTGATGAAGTCTGTGTAATTTTGATTTTCTATGTTTTACGTTATATAATAATGTAAAACCATTTCCAACTATGAGCTTTTTATTTCACATGCAGGAATCACTTTCCAGAATAAGAAACTCCTATCCACATGAAAAGCACCTGAGTCAAAACTATAGTTAATGGTATTTGGAAACTTGACTAAGAATAAGAGCACAGAAATTACCTCTTTTGTTATAAAATAAATGCTTAAAATACACATTTTAAAAAGCATACATACTTTATAAATGCCACCATCATTAAAACATGTATATATGCCTTAAATGGAGAAGAAACACATCTGCCTTCTTTTTT